AAGTTAGGGTGCCCACACACCTTACGATAATCGTGGGAAATCCCGCGATCGTACGATTATCGTAAGGTGTGTGGAAGCCGTGCAACCTCTACTACTGTAAGGTCGCACGACTTTTAACTTACGAACATGTTCGAAAACACGCCGAGCATCGTACGATGTTCGGCGGGTGTGTAGTATGTTCGTACGATAAAGGTCGGACAGGTCGGTGTGCGCAAGCGCACACTGCCCGTTCGGCATTGCTGTCATCGGAAAGCCCGCCCCTCATGGGGGGCAAGGTTTGCGATCATCGCAAGTACGATCTGCCTGTCCAAGATAGGCAGATTGTACGGTTTTTTTAAGTACCTTACAACCATCACAAGACAAAAGTCTTGCAATGGTTTTAGGGTGTGTGCCCAGCATTAGGAATGGGTTCACTCAAAGATTTTTTTTTCGTTCAGCCTGAGGCTAGGTTCCCACCTAGGAGACTCCAGACCGCAAGGCAATCCGTGCAGTTTTGTGCACGAAGGTGTTAACTGATCGCGCTGTGGGTGCCATTATTTTCTAATGGCAGCCCAGTCGTGCCAGGCGGATCGTGCGGTTTCATGGCCCAATTCCGCCTGTGCAAGTGAACACGATCACGGATAAAATAGCCGCACAGTCGGTACTTGTATCTTTTTTTTAGCGATTGCAGCGCGGATGTCACCCCATTGAAATCAATGGAGCTGCGTGGCAATCGCTGTGTGCACTAGCACACGATCGTGCGTCGCGTGTGCCCTGCAGGTGTGAACCTAGCCCGACGGAAAAAAATCTGACCGATTGCTCAGTTCCAGCTAAGGCTGCTCATACACTGATCTATTCTGTTCATTCAACCCGCAGGCTGAACGGAAAAAATAAACCCAATTCCTCCATCAACGCAAACAGCGTGTCGAACGAGGAAAAGCGCGTCGATCGAGGTATTCCGACAGGCTGCCAGCTCCTGTCGGAATACCCGAACAGAGCAGGCATCTCATTGGCAGCCGTCTCTGATCGATCGAAGATTTTCCCACTGGCTCCTACGATCAGCTGATCGGGGGATGCCAACCGAAAAGAGTTCCGACAGCGGCACACACTGTGCGAATTTCGTCCGGTTCCTCAAAAACCGTCCAAAATTCAAAGTGTATGGGCACCTTAACAGTGTGGGTGCACAAAACTCCCACAGTGTCCTTTGTATTGTAACAAGTGCCGCTGTTAGAATACCTGAACAGTGCATGCAAGCATTGTTAAGGCCGACAATTGTCCACAAAAGTCCATTGAATGATCAATCTAATGATGGACTTTTGTGGAGGAGATAAGGCCCCCCCATGGACCAAACTTCAGCCGATTCCTGCTAACACAGCACAATACTACTTCAGCTGACTTCAAACTGTCCCTGTGATAAGTCAAAGGAAATACAGAAAGAAATCTTAAGAGGAAAGAGATACTGATATGATGGAGAGAAGTGCTCCGAAACCACAGCTTATCTGTGTGGCAACACTCTCAGAGTTCTCTGACAGGCCGCCCTCTACAATTGTGACAGTGCAGTCTTGCAGATATAAATAGACAATGCCTCTCCTGCAGAGTTTTAAAGTGCCAGGCAAGGCAAAACTATACTTTAAATGCAAGTACACAAATATACACTGTACATGTCCATATAGCTACCCAAGCATGACATAGATTTTGGATCACAGACAACATTTATTCACCTGATTTAAAGGAAACGTGTATTGAGAGACAAGGAGCCTGCCACTGCTGATCTCCTTCTAGCAACGCTTGTTGTCCAGCTCATTTTGGCCTCAATAGTTTCTAAGGCTCTGACCTGAAATCAGCATGCAGATCAGGGCAATCAGAATCTGCATACTGGTTGTAGGTCAGTGACTAAGAAAGTACTGAAGCGCCTGGAACAGAATGACAGCCAGTGAACAAATATTTTCAAAGGCGAGATCAGCAATGGCAGGTTCCATACGTCCTCAGTACAGGTCTCCTTTAAGAAAATGTTTGTTTTAATTCTGTTTACTTGCCATCAATAGCAATGCTAAAATCACAAATCAGCCCCTAGGTTAAAGAAATATTCCACTTTCTGCAAAAAGCAAATAAATACATCCGTACTGTAAAGAGAAAAAAAATATATTTTGCATTGGAGCCTGCAAAGCATTGCAATCATGATCAGAGGATCGTGGATGCAATGCACAGGCTCCTGCAGACTATTCCTTCAGGTCAGGTCCATACAAACATACAGACCTTCAATTATGGTGCTGGAGATGGACTTCAAGTGCGGTGACGTCACTTCAACTCCATTGGGATCTACGAGTTCCTTTGCTGCAGTGGCAGACAGAACTTGTAGTGTTTACATTCACAGACGTGCCTATGTGGGCAGAGCCATGAAACATAAAAAAATACAAGAGCCTGAGGAGAGAAGCACCCCACAAGGGGGGGGGGGGGGTGGCAA